CCGGAGCGCGACGGGGAAGGCTGGGTGCTGCTCCCGGAGCGTGACGGGGAAGGCTGGGTGCTGCTCTGCCCCACCAGCCGCTCGCTCGGACGGGGAACCTTCCCCAAGGAGGGCTGCTGCCTCGGCCACGCGACCTCGCTAAGCCATGCCAGGCACAGGCCATCGGGTCAAGGGAGAGCTGGCTCTGCCCTTGCCAGCTCTCCCAGTCCTGCATCAGGTCCCTGTGGCCAGCCTCAAGGATGTCATGCAGGCTGGCTACATCTTCAAGGACGGTTTTCCTAGGGCAGAGCCACACTCTTAACAATCCCCAGGCAGCCGCTGTACGAGCAGCCCCGGAGCGTGCGGGGCTGGAGCTCGCACACATGCCAGAAACACCCTTTCCTAATTTCTAAAATCACCCCGTGAAGGAAAACTTTTGTCCTTTTTCTGGGGGTTCCTCCTTCCCTCCCCCCGTGAACAAGGAGACAGCATTTTCACTTGTCTTTTGGAAATGAGCAGATAAAACTTAACAGCAGGACTTTTTTTTTTTTTTTTTTAAGCTTCTCATGGGGAAATTAGACACGCATTCCTCCCCTTGCCATGCTTTCTGGGCCTGATATTTCCCAGGAGGACGTTTTACACCCACAGTATGTTAGTAACAGTCTGTCTGGGGGAGCTGCCAGAAGCCAGTCAAAGGGATGTGGAAACTTGATTGCATGTTTATGCAAATATAGATATATTCATGGAAGTACCCTGCTTGAGTAGTTAATCAGGAAGCCGAGGGTTGAGCTCCAGCTTCCATGGAGCTGGAGTGACCCTGGGCAAAAGAGTGCAAGCTTCTTGTCTGTTAGGAATTGCTCCTCACCCAGGTCCCTGTTGTACACGTGCAGGAGGGTTCATCCACCACCGCTGCCCAGAGCTCACACCATCGCCGTGGCCCCAGCAGTGACAGGGGATCGCATCTACATCTGCACCGCACGCTTGGGGTCATTTGGTTTTTATCCATGCTCACCTGTAGTAACATTTAAGTCTGGTTTTTTGCAAGTGCTGTGTACGTGTGGGTGCTGTGTTTGGTGTCTATCTTGCGTAGGATTTGCAGCGTGCTGCCTCGCTTGTGTCATCGTCTGGGGCGGGCAGGATGGCATCTGTGTGGGGTTGGGTGGCGAGGGGGGACAATCTCTCCTGCCAAACTGCTCTGAGGGACCTGGGAGATGTCACGCACCTCGGGGTTTATTCCTTCTCCAAAACCTGCTTCCTGGGCAGAGAAAATGTTTCCATAATGCTTTCATTAACTGATGGCAAGGGACAAAACAAATACGTAAGTCGCAGGCCAGTCACCACATCGCTGGCTTGATGCGGTCAGGGCTGAGCTCGGAGCTCCTCGCCCCCATCCAGACCCCCATCCATGTACCTGCAGAGCCAGGTCCCACCCCAGAATGGCGTGCCTGGGAGTGGAGACAGGCCCTGGGGGGGCCGCTCCAAATGAGAAGGCAGTCAGGGCTACCCAGCAGCTCGGGTAAGTAAGACTGCTCTCTTACCTGGGCAGCATGCCGGCTTTGATGCCAAAGGTCCATTGCGTGCCTTTAACAGCAGCAGGGAATCAAGGCACAGCCTAGTTCTGATCTGCTTTTGACCAGAGATGTTCCTTCCCCTCCAGTCCTGCAAAATGTAAAGGACTTCTTTAAGTACCGTGACATCCCAAAGGGGCTGTGAATGGAACTCGCTTGGACCTCAGGGAAAACACCTTGCTTAAGAGATGACCCTTTGAGCTCCTGCCAAGACACCCGTGTGCAGGAGACGCAATAACGCCAAGCTGGATCAGAGTCCCAAAGTGAGATACTCTGTCACGACCTCCCTTCTGAATTTTAGAACCATTAAACGATCCCTCCTTGCTTTAAAGCCAGCTCAGCCAGCCAGACATTTAAAAAAAAAAAAAGTCCTGTTAGGACCCTGCCCCATCCCTGTGCTGTTTCACCCTCTAATTTACACACTGTCTTCTGCCCTCTGAATTTCTGCTTCCCACCATAAGCAAGCAGCATCAGACCAGCCTCTGAGTTCACTGCCTCTGTGCCCGTGAGAGAAACACAGGAAAAAACAGGTATTTAAAGCCAGACCGATGTGGTTTTTCCCTTCTCCTTCATGCCTCCGCATGCTAGTGGGTAGCGGCAAGGCAGAAAGCACCGGAGCACGTAGGCTAGAGGAGTAGATTAGATTTGGGTTGTCTCTGGGTCGCATGGATCTGCTAGACATCTGCCTCCTTTGGCTGCTCGTGGTGTTTTCTGTGGTCAAGGTGGAGCTGTGGTCATGGTCATAGGACGCTTTTGTGCTCAGTCGCCTGCGGTGAGAGGGGGGAAAAGAATGAGTTTATGGGCACGGTCTGTGGTCTGAAGGCAGTCAAGGCTGCCAAAATTGGTAGAAGGGAAATGGCAGTTACCCTAAGGAGTATGAATTAAGTGCTATTCTCATTTGCCTTCTGCAGTTCTGTTATTTCGAAACCTTCCTTGAAGCCTGTCAAATTCTTCCTTGCCATTTGTTACATCTTTCCCACTTTCAAAATAAGGCCAAAAAAAAAAAAAAAAAAAGTTTTTTTAAATGGGGGGGGGGGGGTTTTTTTCCCCAAGCCAGAGCTAGGTTAACCGGGGGGTGTTTCTGCTTCCATTCCCCCCTCCCCCTGGGTTTGTAGCAGTTTCAGCAGTGCCAGTTCACATCCAGGAAAAACAAAACCACCCTGAGCCCTGCTTGATGGTTAAGGGCTCCCAGCAGAAAGAGAGCAACAAAAGCCTGGCTTTGCATAGGTCCTGCAGAAACAGGACCCCATGTTTATGTTTTGAGGTCTGTTTCAGGATCCTTCCCCACTACTCCAGTGCTGTTTCCCCCAATGGTTTTTGCTGCAAAGTGTGACTTCTTGGGTCAACTTATTCTACTTCCCCAGAAACCCACCAAGACCAGCAATTTTCACCAGGGCTGGTACAAGCCCCCGAGATAAAAGCTGCCCAGCGTTTCCCATTTGTGTGAACTGGGTCTGGGGGCGAAACATATCTCTCCCCATCCCAAAATGTAAAACTGTCCATTAATGTCCCAGAGCTACAAGGCAAAGGTTCTCAGGATAATGAGCATTAATAATTTTCCTGGCTCTGTAAATGCAATTGAGTGGAGGTGTATGTGAATGACTAAAAAGCAAAATGCCTTCAGGGCTGTTTTTTATTGTGACTCTAATTAAACCCTTGCCAATTTGCACAGGGCTTTTTTTCATATTCTCTTTAACACCATATTAATATCAATTGGTTTCCACTTTCCAGCTGAAAAGGACAATGTCTATCACCTTCTCTTAGAGCTTGTCATTAAAATAAAAAAAAAAATTTTTTTTTTTTTTTCTTTTTTATTCTGCATTGTTTATCATCCCCTTGACGAGGCTGGGAAATCACATTTCTCTCCTACTCGGGTTTGTCCTTTGAAACTTGGCAAGGATCGAGAGATTTTTTTTTTTTCCTCCTCCTCCTTATGTTACCCAACTGGAGCTCGAAATTAATAATATGGCTTTTAAAATTTTATTCCTTGGTTTGTTTTCTAGCAAACCTGAAGATTGTTACCAATATCGAGGAGACGGGGAGGGGTATGGAGCCAGTGGGGGTGAGGGTGTGCGGGGAAACCAAACAAGTGATCTATAAATTTCTTGCTGGTTTAATTTCTCTGCAGTGGCTTGCAAGTTCTTTAATTGGTATTTCTGAGGGATGAGCAGAGCCTGAAGGAGGGCCTAGAAGTTTGGATTAGAAACCAGGACTTTGTGCCACCGTCACAAGACGCCCGTGCTAATTCTCAGTTCCATTATCTCAAAGCAGGGAGGGGTGCAGATCAGTGGCTGAGGTCCTTACGCAAACACACGAGCAAAACGCCGTGCCTTCAGCTGGGCTGAGAATGGGCAGCTCAGCACACCGCTGCCCTCCTGCCCTTTGCATCGCAAGGGCTGCCCGGCTCCTCCAGTGCCCGGGGATGCACCAGCTGCCCAACGCCAGCACTTGCATCGAGCGGGCAAGGCGTGAAAACCTGCGCGGCACAGGGTTGGGTTGCTTTTGTCCTCCAAAGCTCTGGCCCTCCATCAGGGCGCTGCAAAGCTCCTCACTGGTTGCCAGCTCCCCCCAGCACAGCCGGTAACACAGCTTTCCCCTTTGATCACTGCAAGACTACACCAGTGCCCCGCTGCAAGTGGGCTCTGCCCCGGCCAAGGCTGGCCCAGGATCAGAAGGTAGGAGATGTGTGGCTGAGCTGGGTCCTGCCAGCGAGTACCAGCTCCTGACGCTCAGCGACCGCTTTAGTTTCTAGTTCTGCATCTCTGTTTTCCATGCATCTCCTCCTCCTCCCGCCTGGGAAAAAGCTCAGGGTTTGTCTGTGCCCAACACACAGCTGGGAATCTGGTGAGGCTGGATTGAGCCTCAGGGTTTAGTCGCATACATGAAAGATGAGGATGGTAAGTGGTAGAAGAGATTGTTCACAGCTTGCTGCTGGGGTGAATGGAGAGGATCATGGAAATCCTGTCGTCTCCCGAGACTGCAGTCTGTTTGTAGAACAGAATAACTTTGTAAATAGATAGGCCTGTGTTGTTTATAGCATAGATGCCTTCTTATGTATTTCCTTGCTTCAGGTCTCCTGCGTGACTGCCTAGGGTGAGCTGCTCCTGGTGGGAAGCTTGGGAGGCTTCACGCTGGCTGTTGAGGCTGAAGCTTCTCCTCCTCAGGGTTCCCATCAGCACACACGCTTCGGCAGTTGCCCGTTGGTGCTCAGCTCCCTTTTCCCATCGAGATGCCTGTAGCTCGCTCCAGCTGTAGACATTAGCATCCCTTCCAGTGCCGAACGTAACAGCTGCTGAAGCTGGGCCCAGGACACAACCCAGTGTTTGGAAATACTCAGCTGGGGGGCAGAAAGTGCTGAAATTGAGGCTCTTTGGAGTTGTTGTGCTTTTGGGCCTGTCCCTGGCCTCACAGAGAGACAAAACCGGATTCGATGCAGTAACAAGGGTTAGGCCTACACCATGGCATCAATGCCAGGTGATGCTGACAGTCTGTGCTGAACAAGGGGGGCTTCTGAGTCTTGACAGTGGTCTGCAGATTTAGCTTCTCTCCATGCTTGGGCATTGTAATGACCACATGCCAACGCTTGCCCATCCAGCAGCTCCCATGCCCTTACCTTAGGATTACTTTTTCTGTCTCTCTTCACACTTAAAGACTA